CAATGAAACCGTCATAACTGTGAGTCAGTGGCCAAGGGTCTGAATTTTGATCACATGACCCTTGGGGTGCTGCATTAGTTATAAGTGCGTAAAAACAATCGTTTTTCTTTTCTTTTCTGGATAAATTTTATTAAACATTTTCCAACAATTTGAAAACATATTGTTCTGACCCAAACCTGGTTCCAAGGAAACAAACATGAAACGGAGGTAACAGCAAAACCTTTTAAGGATTCTTTACGAATTCTGTTCCTTCCCGGTTAAAAGGCTGTTTCAAACTAATGGTCTCAGATAAGAACGACCCTGGCCAAGGAGGTGCAAGGCTGCCAAGAACACAAGATAAAGTTGCCAAGAAATAGTTCAAACACAAAGAGTCTCCAAACACCAACCAAGAGAATCCGAAAGTCCACAAGGCTTCAATGCAAAAACGTCTTTGCTTCCTGCAAAGAACTAACCCTATTATTTTAATTTCTATGGTTCTGGGTCTTCCTTCCAGCTGCATTACTTGACTAATACTGGATTCAGAACTACCTTTATTTCCCTGAAAATAAAGGGTCTTTCTTATATTAATTTTTTTTGCTCCAAAAGATGCAGTAGGCCTTATTTTCCAGTTAGGTCTTATTTTGGGGGAAACACGGTACTAAATCTGTCTGTCTGGCCAACGCTCTTAACTTGGGCTTATATTACGATCATCCTGAAAAATCATGGTAGGGCTTAATTTCCAGTTAGGTCTTATTTTGGGAGAAATACAGTAAATGCTAAGGGGCATCTCCCAAGGAGCGAATATCTTCCTGCTGGAAAATCAAGGCCAAGAGATGTCTTAAATTTGGGGTTTCAAATTGGAGGTTTCATATTTTTTTCAACTGCTCTCACAATCCTCATTTTCGCTTTAGGGAATCCAGACATTCCGAAACCTCGGCGGATCCTTCGATCCTCTTGGGGCAGCAACCCCTATTTCCGTGGTTCTTACTCTTACACGCAAGTTGGGTCGAGCGGAGCAGACGTGGAGAAACTTGCGAAACCCTTGCCTTATACAGAGAGTTCCAAAACTGTGGTAGGTATTAGCACTGCCAGCAGTGATGACGTTATCTAGTTGGATAATTAAACGTCTGCAAGAAAGCTGTCAATCTCAGAGAGCACCAACCCCACAATCTCCCTGCCATCTTCCTCTTCTTCCTCTTCCTCCTCCTCCTCTTCCCCTCCTCCTCTTCCTCCTCCTTCTTTTCTTCCCCTCCTCTTCCTCCCCCCCTCCTCCTCCTCTTCCCCTCCTCCTCTTCCTCCTCTTCCCCTCCTCCTCCTCCCCCTCTTCCTCCTTCTCCTCCTCAACCCTGTGAGGTAGGTTGGGCTGAGAGAAAGTGAGTAGCCCCAAAGTCACCCATTCAAGTTCTATGCCTAAGACAGGACTAGAACTCCCCGTCTCCTGGTGTTTGGCCCAAAGCCACTTAACTGGCTTTCATGCCTAAGGCGGGACTAGAACTCGCAGTCCCCTGGTGTCTATTCTGATTTCTTCACCTCTAAACCAGACTGGATTTTCTGGCATATCTTCCCACTGTGGAGGAATCTAGAACAACTGAATATTTTCTGAACTTATTTCCCGCGTCTTCTTGGTCCCTGAAAAGTTGACGCGATAGAATTTGTTTTGCAACGTGACATCACGGGATAGAATGCAGGTAGTCCTTGGCTTAACGACCACCACAGAACCCAGAAATACCTGTTGCTAAGCGAGATGTTGGTTAAATGAGTTCGGCCCCCATTTTATGTCCTTTCTTTATAACCAGTTGTTAAGTGAGTCACACGGTGGTTATTAAGTGAATCTGGCTTCCCCATGGCTGGGCACCACCACCATCATAAATACGGGTTGCCAAGCCTCTGAATTTTGATCCCCGTAACTACGGAGACGCAATGGTCGTAAGTGCGAAAAATGGTCCCAAGTCACCTTTTTTTCGGTGCTGTTGTAACTTCGATCGGTCGCTCAACCAACTGTTGTTATTGGGGTTATTGTTTTACAAAATGTTGCTTAAGAACCTTTTTCTCTCTTTTCCCCCCCTCTTTCTTGGCTCTCTCTCTCTCTCTCTCCCACCTGGATCTCCAGCCTAAACAGGTGATGTTTTCAGGTGAGGCAACGCACAGGAAGTACTACTCCACCACCCATGGTGCTTTGCTGTCTGGCCAGAGAGAGGCGGCTCATCTGACCGAAATGTACCAAGATCTTCTGTCCTGCAAGAATTGAGAGAAACAGGACCTGCGGAAGACATTTTAACTTTTAATTCCTTTTACTGTTGTGCATCTAAACCGGGAATCCCCAAACATGGCCGCTTTAAGATTTGTGGACTTCAACTCCCAGAATTCCTCTGGCTGAGGAATTCTGGGAGCTGAAGTCCACAAGTCTTAAAGGGGCCAAGTTTGGAGACCTCTGGATTCTAAACCAAATTTTCCTTTTCCTCTCGTTTTTTTTTTT